TGCCCGGTTTTATGATGCCCCTGTCCCCTCCACCACGGATCCTGCTTGGCGTTCACAGAATGCTTCTACCGCGGCCACACGGAGGACAAGCAGCCGCTGTACAGGGGCTGATTGTGGACTATGGAGCGCGGTCTCCCCGTCACCAATAATGTCCGTGTCTGCTTCACTGGACACCTGCGTGTCTTCCTCCTCTGAATCTGAGTGAGCCAGTACCAGACCAAGTACTTCTCTGGTACTGAAGACCTCGTGAGTAAAATAAAAAAACACTCTCTCCCTCTGCTCTGCTCTCGCTCCCCTCAGCTCTACCGCTGATGCTTCGCCTCCGCGCCGCTGCGCCGCAGGTGTTTTACGAACTCAATTTATTCAAAAACTTTCAATATAACCACACCCACAAATGTTGCTCATATTACAGGCACACATGTCCACTAACCCCTGGTGAAAAGTATTAACAAGATTCTGCACCACATTTTTAGATACAGCCTGTTTAAGTGAGCAATGTTGCTTGTCGCAATATTGCGACTTTGGCGCTTAAAGGGTTTCCGTTTCATGGCAGAAAAGCCACGCTCGCAGCAGGACGACGACATGGGGAAGACGACATGGGGAAGACCAGTGCGATTTCTGCAATGACTTGCATCTGTTTAAACTGCCCCTCTCGACCAACCGCACCCTGCAGTACTCGCTGCCACAATACTTCTGAAGACATGTGTCTGTAACGCCTGTCCACCAGTAGACCTCTAATGGCACGTACAGCACAGAGCCAGATAATGCACGGACATTATTAATGCTAGAATGTGTTGTATTAAAACACGAGGCTTAGACAGACAGATGATCTAGTAGGTCACGTAATGATTTGTTCATCAATTATGGATTAACAGGGCCGAGGTGGGTCGCAGGCAGCGCGCACCAAGGCCACAAAAGGCCTCTGACCCGCTGTTGATTTCTCTGTTTTTTTATGCTAACGCTAAATAATACGGACATTAGCAAAATCTGTGCCATAATAGATATAGCTAATGTCCGTATTATTTAGTGTTAGCATTCGTTGGGGTAACAAATGCAATAAGAAGACAGTTGAATATTTCTATTAGTTGAGCAACCCATTCATTTGAAATAACGTTTCCTTATAAGGCCTCAAATGTATGTGTTTTGCATATTTCCCATTAATTCAATGTGTATTTTATAAAGCTAACTTGTCTATCAAACTGCAGTGTTAGCGTTAGCAGTCAACTCTTCGCTGTAATGATAAATTATCTTACCTTTAAAGTGTTTGGTGGAGGCTGGCTGGATTGCGCTTCCGAAGAGCCTGCGACAACGTTCCTGTCTTTTGGCAGCGACAACCACCGCAGCATTCTGGATTGCACCTTTACCGCTCCTTCTCTATGGACAGGGTGCCAACTGTGCAGGTGCATGCACCTGCTACGTGGTCAAACTGGGTCCGCGCAGAGAACGGAGAAGCGGGAAAATGTTTGCCCATGATTCCGCGTCAAATAAGAGCAGAACAGAATTCCCTGAGCGGGAGCTCTCTCTCTTTAATATGGAACATTAGCACTCGCTTACATAAATATATTGCCTATTTTACAAATACAAATTGGTTAAAGGCTTTCCGTCCCGGGACCGTCCCGGGGAGAATTTCATCTCGTCCCGTGCATTTTTTTTCCCGTCCCCGGGACGACGGGACTATGTTAGTCTCGAGCCCTGCTCTTCTGGAAATTTCATCTATAAAAAAGTGGAACCAAAAAGTGTTATTGTCTTTGTAACCATATGGGTATGCAAGGAATATTTGGCCCACGGAAATTGGAACTTCCTTTGTAAGTGGTTTCATTTGTCCACGCACAGAGGCTTGTGCCCACAACAGCAGAGAGCTGGGGAACAGGTTTCTGCTGAAACAATGTAAAGGACACATGTCACCTCTACTTTGTTCACCAGCACACGTAGATCGGAATCAATGACCTGCATTAGAGAAAAACATAATAATACCCATCAGGTCAGAACTTTGTACAATTACAACCTTGCTCCTCAATGCTGGCTTTTTTTACACATGCGTCATGTGACTGCTGGAGGATGATTATTTAAACAAACTGTTTTATGCAGAAAAACATTTATGGGAACTGAGTGTTAAGATTTAGTAAAGACATGAACATCTGACAATTTAAAAATGTACTTTTTAAATGATAATATGTTTGTGTCTTTCTACTGGCCTTGTTTTGTGGTGAAGGAGCGAACTGAATCACTGAGCCTTGTTGGACACTTCTTTATGTTGTGGTTGGTCTTTTTGTCCAATCCATCAGTCTGTGGGTGGTACGCAGCGGTGACGCTTCTCTCAATGCCCAGCAGAGAACACAGAGTAACATTGAGCTGAAACAATGAAAATAAAATGAATAAGAAAGTATGAACAAGAAGTACACAAACAATATTTACTTCATTTACAAATTCCCGCCCTTGATCAGACAGGATACATTTTGGGCACCCCTGTATATTATAAAGCAAAGTCTTTGCCCAACCTCCACAGCCGTCTTAGTTTTTAAATGGGAAAGCCTCTACCTACTTTGAAAAATAATCCGTGGCTGTAAATATGTACTGATAGCCATCAGTAGTTTTGGGGAAGGGCCCCAACAGCTCCCAAACAGACACCTAACAAGCAAACAGGATTTGAATGCATTAATGTACACTGCTGGTTGGATAGGAACAATAAATACAATTACTTTTATTGTTTGGAGTGGTGCAACTGAACCCAGAGACTTTCCCTCACGTTGACATTGGTCACACTCATAAATCTTAAAAAGAACAGACAGGGAAGGGAATTGTACAGACAAATAAAAGGAAAAAACATACCATATTGTCAATCATCAGTCCTGCCACGCCAGTAAAACCTGGAACAAATGGCAGGTTTTTTTCACGCCAGTGTGGCCTCCCGTGGGTGTAGCATGACACTTTTTTAAATAGTTTCTGTGCCTCGTGTCTTGTTTTAATGGCTCTTCTTTTGTCATGGAACAGCTCACCATCTATAACAACTGAATTATAATAAAACAACAGAAGAACAATAAGACATGTATAACCATAATAGCAAATGCATTATTACCCTTTGCAGTAAATTTATGGGAGTACTTCAAGTTCTGTCTGTCTGAAATGTATTCATTCCCTCAGGATAAATCTTCTCTGTGAGGAGAAGAAACATTTCATCCCATTTATCCTCCATTATGATTATGAAAGACAAAATCTTGGTCAGGTGGACAGGCAAGGGTCAAAAAACGGTGTATCAATCAGTGTGGCATACAAATCAGAGGGGAGGAGACAGAGATTGTGGTCAGGTGGAAATGCAGGAGTCAAAAAACAGTATCAATCAAAAGCAGATGTGAAAACGGGGAAGTGGATAATAATTAAAAGCTGATCAAACATCCACACAAAAATATCTAATTTAAAAAAGATGGAAATCTTTGACTTTGTATTAATATTGACTTCCTTTCACCATTAGATATCAAGAGATAAGACACTATGGAAGAGGATTAGTGATGAGGCTACATCCATGTGAAACACACATAAATGAAACGTAATTTATCTTTTTTACTAGTGTGAGATTTCATAACACTTTTAAGTAACTGTTGTTAAAGTTAAACTCATCATTCTATCAATGTGCAGAAGCCTGTACTTTTCCACTACTTGTTTTGACTATCTCTGCTGTCTCTACCATCGACAATAAAGCATGTCTTCTGTCTGAATGAAAGACGCGATCCCAGACTTTATCATCTTCTTCACGAGTACATAATGTTACCATCTCTCCATGAGCAAATATTAGAAAATCAATACATTTCGGGAGGGATTATGACCGCGTATTCATTCATACGTTACGCGTGTACGTAAAATGTATCCCCATAATGTAATTTCAAACCCAGGAGTATGGTACAAAGTTGAAAAAGTAATATAATATTCTGTATAGGATTTGGTAGAGTCAGTGAGGTCAGTGAAGTCAACGCGCTCGGTTGCAAACTTTATAATACGTTATACTAATACAAATATATGCCCTTTGTAACGGAGAGCCATACTCACGTGAGTTTTCAGCTTCGGTGAAGAGAAAACAAAGCTGTAGAGTTGCTACACGGAACCATCAACATCTCGCCTCAAATTGCATTAAAAGTGACATTCGTGTCTTATTTCGTTCGTATTATAACTTTTAAAGCAATTCTCCGACTTTCTGTCCGCCATCTTGGTTTGTTTCGGCTGCCGTGAGACGCGCATGCGCGCAGGTTTGCATTACATCATTAACAGCTGAGCATTACATAAGCGTCACTTTTTGGCAGAGCGTCACTTTTCGGCAGAACACCGGCCGGCTACTTCCGGTACTTCCGGCTCGCGTCAGGATGTTCTGGTGTGAAGACCCCTGCGTCTGAAAACTAGAGAATGCGCGTCTGGTGAGCGGGGCTTCAGCGTTTCAGCGTTGGCGGTCTGAAAGCCCCATAAGGCCAGGCTAAAACAAATGTGTTTCTAAGCTGGTTGCTGGACTTTCACCCACTGAAAAAGGCATCTAATTGGTCAACCCTTATGGCTCTTATCTGGATTTACAAAGACAATAGCAAAATATAAACCCCAGGATCGCAGCGCTAATCCGCAGATTTTTTCAAGCCCAAAATTATGAATGTGACAGTTACTGAACTATAGGATTAAACTTTTCAATGCAAGTCAATTGGAGCCAGAGAGAGTTGGAACAAAACGTTGTCCATTCATTGAACTAGCTGGTTGCCATTGTAAGTGTGTATTTCAAACTTTTGCATACAGCATGACAAAACAAACAAGACAGACATTTAAAAAAAAAAATACAATACAGAAAAATAATGTTTGAAAAGGAGTTGGACGAAGCAAATGCATTGTCCATCTGTATATGACAGAAAATGAATCCCAAACTATTTCTCAATTTGCTGCTCAATGAAGCTCAGTCTGAACATGCGGCTTAATTAGTGCTGGACCGCTTTCATATCTGACCTCCCCTCGCCCTCTTCCCTCTCCCTCAGGCGCTGCTGCCCTGTCTGGAGCCGTCACCCACACGGTCTCCACGGCGGTGATAGTGTTTGAGTTGACGGGGCAGATCTCTCACATCCTCCCCGTGATGATCGCCGTGATCCTGGCCAACGCCGTGGCTCAGGCCCTGCAGCCCTCCCTCTACGACTCCATCATCCGGATCAAGAAGCTGCCCTACCTCCCGGAGCTCGGCTGGGGACACCACGAGTAAGTACCACTGCAGCTGATGGCTCTCTGTGCTGGAGAGAGAGCAGAGGTTATGGGCATGGTTAGCATTTGTATACAGAGTCATTTCTGGTTGACTGCTAGCTAAAACAGTGGATGCTGAGATTTGTTGAGTTAATAAGCTGTCATTTTTGTACTATCTATGGCTATATGGTATTGTTATATACAGTTTTCAGATGGATTTTACCTGCTGGTAATAAACTATAGAATTATGACTCTGAAATTAGGCTTGGACAAGTGGATCACTTCATTCGAACAGATTTTTTTAGATTGGTACTAATTTAGTTATTGATTTACTATTATTACATTCCATAGACTTAAAGGTGCTCTGTGTAATTTTTACAGTTCAAAATTGAAAAACATGTTAACCAATTACAAATGTGACCTTTTTAAGAATATATACCTCCACCATGTTTTTGAATTGTTTTCATAGGCTTAGAAATGGACTTATAAATGTCCATGAGGCTGGAGGACTCTAGATGTCAATGCGCCATCTTGAAATACAGCGGTTGATTTGGGACAAAAAGGAGTTTGACCTGGAGTTGGGGACCACTGTCAAAGACAACATATTGTCCTGAGAAGCTACCGTAGTACCGTCAATATCAATATATGACCTCAATGCTAAATATTGTTCCCTTTAAACATGCTGAGAACAGGTTTCATGACTCGGATAGTGCTATAAGTCTATAATGACTGCAGAATGACATTTACAACTTGTTTTAATCCAACAACCCGATGTTTAAAAGTCAACTCTATTAATGTGTTGTTTGAGCTTTGTCTTTGTCAGTGATTAACTCCCATAATCGCTGACCTTTTGGGATTAAAACAACAAATCTAATTGGAACTAATTGATTTATCGAAATGCGTTTGAAACTCGAAATGAGTTCCTTCATTTCTGTAATATAACTTAAAATACAAACCCAATATATAGTATAACAGGCTCGGTATATGTCACTTTACATGTAATAAGTCTAAGTCTCTTTCTGAAGATTTACAAGCTGTGAGTCATAATTATCAGCATTATCTTTTGTATTTGTTTTTACAGTGTGTTTTTAAATTGGTTTTAAATGTTGCAAATGTGAAGCACTTTGGGTTGCATTCTGTATGAACTGTGCTATAGAAATAAAAATTGATTTATTACAAATTAAGGCTCAAAATACTGATATTAGAATGTTATTTAAGTGATAATTTTAGTAAATCACATGTGGCTAAAATATTTTGTAGAAAGCTTGTATTGTAATTAGGGGTGTGACGATATATCGATTTTTCGATATATCGCGATACTTTCTCCCGCGATTCGATTATCGATATGCATTTGCTAAGTATCAACATCGATTTTGAAAAGAAAAAAAAAAAATATATATATATATTTTTTTTTACTTTTTTTTTTGAATTGGTATCAATACTTATTATATGGCTACATTACGCATCTCCATTATGTTTATCATGAAATAAAGATTATTTTTTCTTTTATTAATGCCATAAATTGGCATATTGTATATTTCTGTCCAATATATCGATAATCGTCATATCGTGATAAAATCGTTATCGTGATAAAATCGTTATCGTGATAAAATTGTTATCGTGATAAAATCGTTATCGTGATATTATCGTTATCGTGATATTATCGTTATCGTGAGCTTTGTATCGTATCGTATCGTATCGTGAGGTACCCTTAGGTTCCCACCTCTAATTGTAATTCACTTTTGCTCCAGGAAGACTCCAGGAAGTCTGGCGGGCTCGTATGTTAAACATCAGGAGGAAGCAGGCTTTGTATTTGCTACTACAGAGTGTTTTTGGTTGTGTTGGTACTTCCTTTCCTATCTGCATATGAAGGTGTGTCTTGTACTATCAAAAGGACCTTGGAGACTGCTGAGCTTCAGACGTGCTCTGGAAGGAGACTGAGCTGGTTGTGCTTTTTCTCTTAAGACATGTCTCCTTGGAAAGGCAACCAAGTATTAAAGAATGCCTGAACTATGTCTTTTGTCCATGTGATTTTGTCAGGATTGACTGTAAATTACAGCATTAACACATATCTCACCTGGCGTGTAATGAGTCCTATATTGGTCTCACATTTTAAGTTGAATAATAAAAGTACATGTTTCAACAATATTCTCATTTTCCGAGATTCACCTGTAATCGTTAAAACAGGCCGAACATGCACTACGGGATATTGGGCTTTTGGGTGAAATTTTGTTAAATAAGGCAATTGTGTTTATTGTACTAATTAGGGCAAAGGCTATTTGGCAATGCTGCAACATCAACAACACTCAGATGTATAAGATCTGCTGGTAATCAACTTTTTTTTTAAAAGATCTCTATCATTTAAATTCTCTCTGATGCTTCTGTAACGGCTCTCGTCCGTCTTTTATCCTCTTCAACCATCGATGCAGTTACATCTTTTTATTGACCCAAACTGAAATATACTCTTCTCCTCAGATGCTCAGATGCTTAGAGAGCACATTGCATAGGCTAATAAAAGGCTGTAAAACTGGAGGCCTGTATAATTTGCTGCTGTCTCATGTGTGCTGGGGTTTTAATATGTTTACCTGCAAATAGGTGCTTTTTGTGATGGAGTCAGCGCGCCCCATTCCACAACGCTTTTTCATCAAATTCAGCAAGTCTCGAAAATCTCTCCACCGGGTCCACTTAGTTTGACAAAAGGGAGAGAAGCACTGTTTTACCAGTACCACTTTAATAAACAAGTTGTGCACTAGACCAGCTCATCAGTTGTATGTTTTTAAGCTCCAATTGAGAAAATGTAGGCATGAAGAAAAAAACAATACAATGTCTATTCTGCATTGATAAATCATATCGTTGAAACTCGTTAAAACTCCTTAAAACGTGCACATCATAGTTTAAGACCACATCTACTCTAGCACTACTATAAGTACTACTCGCACTAATAGATTGAAGAGAAGATATAACCAACAATAATGGAAACAATATTCACACCATGGAGGATTCATAGACCTTCAGAAAGACTTTGCTACAATAAACATATTCATTTAAAAAAAGGGGGGATTAAAAGTGTTGCACATAATCGGGTGAACTTCTACTTAACAAAGAGATGTCCATATGTGATGTTGGAGGGGACATGCTTCAGAAAAGAGGAGTATCACATGTGGGGTGCCACAGGGATCTGTACTGGGACCAAAACTATTTTTATTTTATATGAATGATTTGTGTGATGTGTCAAATTTGTATAATTTGCTGATGACACACACATATGGGCTACAGGAAATAACCTAACCTACTTTACTAGAGTCTAATTCTGACATATGTTCATGTATAATCACTGCTCCTTTAATACATCAATAAAAAAAGCCTTTCTATACAAGTACTGAAAATCCATGCAGATCAAAGTACATATTTTGGATCAATTACCAGCTAGGATATTGGTTTGGTTGCCCTCTCCTTGGCATAACCACCACCTGTAAGATTTGTTGGAGGAGAATAGTTGGACAACAAAACGGTAAATCCCAACAGTAGTTACAGTATCTCAGGACTTAACAAAACCGTTGAATTCTCAACACGGATCAGAGAATCAAACAGTTCAAACACAAGAAGGGTAATGATTTAAAAAACACATAGAGCCGTTGATCCATAAGGGGCAGATGACCAATGTCCATAAATATCCATAGAAGTTGTTGAATGTTGTGTGTCCTGGATCAGTGTATAAGTATTTTCAAAAACATTGGAGTCGTAGTAGAAGTACCACAATACATATAGTAAAATTCCTTGTCGTTTACCTGCTAAGTACTTGTGTCCCAGCTGCAGCGCTCAGTAGACTCACACACAACCGTCTCCATGTAATTGTTGAGTACGCCCTGTTGTTATCGATGTTGGCAGACCATTAAGTGAAAATAATAGTTCAGATGCATCATTCACAAATTGGGAATAATGGCAAAAAATGTAATCTCCGCCTCCATCTGTTCGTTGTGATTACGGCCCCCTCCCCTTTCACATCTAATGTCTGGTATTGTTACACTTGAGTTTTTTAATGGCCACAGCTTACTGTAGATCTCTGTGGAAATTTTTAACGCCAGACGGTTTTTTATCACATAATTGATAAATTAACTTTAGTGATCTGAAAAGAAAGGACTCGGTTGCAGACCAGAATAGATGATTATCAACAATAAAACATGGTTGTAAATGGACTAGCTTAGCATTCATAATAAACGCAGTGTTGGGAGTTTGACCTGGAGTATGAATAGCTTCGTATCTGTCAGTATGTCTGTATTAATGTCAGAATTGTCAGCAAAAACTACAGAGCAGCAGGAAATAAGGGGCATGAAAATAAGAACTGGATGAAGAAGCTGTAAATATTCTGTGTGGAGTTTGCATAAGATTCCTCCGGGTGCTCCAGTTTGCCCTTCCATTAAAAACATGTGCAATAGGTATGAATGTAATGAGTGTGTGAATGGATGGTGTTTGGTCAGACGCTTTGATGGACCAGTGTGTTCAGCGTCTCGCTTCCGTCATTGCCGCGTGAAGAGAAAATGGAAAAATATCTGAACTCAACATTATTCAGCGCTTTGATTTTGATTTGAGATTGGATTTGTCCCTACACTTGTATTGGTTAATATAGTTAGAAATGAGAACTCTGGATCAGTGTATACGTAACTTAACAAATGCAGTAGCAGCAGTAGTTTTACATCTATACTAGAAGTGTAAGATAGTAAGTCATCTTTATTTATATCCCGCCTTTCACAGACCAGAGTCACAAAGCGCTTTACAATTGTTTTTTGGGGCATTTGTCTCTCACTCCACACAGAGATGGGAGCAGGGCCAGTACAGGAGGCGCATGCCAGTCCTATTGTACATGTTTTTAGTGGTAGGGGAAACCAGAGTACCCGGAGGAAACCTACGCAGACATGGGGAGAACATGCAAACTCCGCTCAGAAAGGCATTGTTCCGACCGGGATTCGAACCCAGAACTTTCTTGCTGAGAGGCGATACCTTGTTTAAATACCTTGTTT